AGCGAAATTGAATGTAAAGCATGCATAGTGGTAGTGGTATTAACGTTATATAGTAGATTTATCAGTTATATAATTACAGAATAACAGGAATCATAAATATGAAGACAGGTTCTGTTAATCTACGCGTGATTCCATTGTACAAAGGGGGGAAAATGCATAGTTTATTCTTTATGTCAAACGGGTTTTTTTCCAGATTGATATTTTAAACCATTGTATAAACTTATCCAAGATTTTTTATTCCTTCTCTTTTTTTTTTTTAATTTTCTTCTCCCTGTGTTTCATAAATTCAAAATTTACTGATAAAGCGAAAATAATTTATACAATTTGTACTTATTAGATTAGATCATCACACATTGTTATAAAAATTCGTTAAAATTTTCAGTTTTGCTATTGTTCTACATATATATAATCTTTAGACTTGATCTATCTTTGCTTTAATCAATTTTATTATTATTGTTTTTTTTTAAAAAAAAAGAAAGAAAAAAAAAAATCCAAAATATAAAATTTTATAGAATTATTCTGATCAAAAATTTATAAACATACATCGTTACATTATTGGATCAAAAATTCACACCATAAAAAAGGACTTTAAAAAACGCGTCTATTAAGTTGATATTTTATTGACAGACTTTTTTTATTTTTAAACAGCTAAACGTAACTCTTGAAAACACCAATACATCTCTTAAACGACAGACATGAATACTGAAACAGTCAACACCACGCCTTTAGAGAACGCCAACGGTTCTAATAATATCATTCATTTAAATAATAATTGTACTGTTAATGAAAGGGATGTTGCAAGAATGGTTTATTCCGGGCTATATTCACGAAAAACGGCGACTCAAAGGCATGTTGTTGAAACATATTTCGATGCTAATGCTGGTATATATAAATATATAAAAATGATGATTGAGATTTTAACAAGTATTAATAATAGTATCTAACATATATTATTATGAGATAGTTTTCGAGAATCCACTCCTTGTGGTGGAATCACACAACGAAATAATTAATCTTTTTCTATTAATGTCAACGTTCTTTTTCGCCATAACACCTGAGATCCACAGTATTACCGATTCCACAGTAGCTGGTAATCATCACATAGTTTGCATCGACTCTATAATTAAATATCGGCTTCCTGTACGATTTCCACCGATTCCATGTTTATTAAAATTATTTTTACGTAGTAATGATAATTTATTTTACATATGTAATAATGAAATTAGCTTAAGATGTATTTCTAAATTTGAATTCAATGAACAACACAAAATTGTTAGACATGAAGATATTTGGAGTATTAAGGATTTGGTAGAATCATTACCTATTGTTGGATGGTTATACGCGGAAGTTGGCAGGAAGGCTACAGGATTGGTAACTAATGGTTTGGTTAATTTGACTCAGGAATTAGTCAAAGCTTGGAACAATTGGGAGATTTAAAATTTTATGTATGTTTTTTATTGTATTTCTTTATAGACGAAAGCTGATATTTTTTTTTGATTATGTATGAAAAGAATCTTTATTACATATATATTTTATTAGAAATATTTTATATATTACTATTATTATTACAATTTATTTTAGAAACTTTTTTTCTTGTTTTTTTTTTATTATAAATAAATATACATATATATATATATTATTTAATTTTATAGATACAAATAATTTAAAAGTTTCTTTTGATATGAAAAATTTAAGAAATGCATCTACCTGCATTAATATTAATCAATTATCAGGCTTTCTGTACAAATAAAGCCGTTATTTAAATATTCCTTGACTATAGTATTTATCATTTAAATTGAATCACGAGTGAAGATAAAAATTGATCTTTAATATGCGTTAATAGTATCTTTAATTAATAAATAATTTGATACTTAAAACAAGGGATAAACATATATTGTATACTGTTTTAATGCTTTTAAAAAAAATTAAACATATCAAAATAATTATACGTAACGTTGAATTTGGCCTATCGAAACATATTACTAATATTAGTAGTTAAAATGCTTATTAAAAATAATTTAACAAACTATAAATTTATAGAAACAAGATATGGATTAATTATTACTTATCTTAGGGACCTGGTACGATATTCATTGACATGCCACTCTGGCGTGCTATGATGGCGTTTAAAGTTCATTATGGTATGTTATTATAAAAATATTTTCATGTAATCTGATTGATTAAAGGAAATTTAATCATATTCAAAAAATAATTTTTTATTATACTTAAAATATGGCATTCTGGCATGTAATTTGCTAAATAGCATGCCAAATGGTTTTAGGCATGCCGGTCCCTAACTTATCTACACATTCATGTGTTGTTTTATCATTCCTGCAAGATAATTCAAGAGAAATATTTATGAATAGATTCTTATCTCAATGTCGAAATCATTTGAATTGACTTTTAATATCTAGAGAAATTACTAACCAATTTCAAATTTTGCATGAGTCAAACTTTGGATTGACTTCTGATCGACTGACTTGATTTTTGGAACCGGACAAGACTTTTAATAATTATCAATCAAAACTGATTTAATCGATAACCAACAGAATAAAATTGTAATTACTTTAAATTATCAATAATATCTTGGTAATTACATATAAGGTCTAGGATGGTGCTATTCCGGGGAACCGGTGTAGATCATATGATACAACTAACTGTATATATAATTAGATATTTGACTAAGAACTCTTCAAAGACATGTATAAACTAAATTCATTATCGTTAGCTATTTTGGCTAACTATTTTTATTATTAACGACCGGTGATCATAAATTAGAATCATCGATAAAATTTGCTTGGTCTACTACAATCACCATCACCCTTCGTTATACTTGATCTGTAACTTTGTGATAAATTTAAGTTGATTTTTTTTTATATTATTTGGTAAACACCTTATGTTGGCGTACCGAGTATTGCGTGTACCTGTTTTTAAACAAAAAAAATGATACATCTAAATATATACATTATTTAATTTTTACATCAAAACCATGAAATTTTTTTTGATTATTTTAGTGTGTAAAACTTCGTTATGTACAATATATTGATATTGTAAGAATCCAAACACATTAAAAATTTAAAATAAATACATATTTTTTTATCCAACACGGAAGGATAATGAGACCGAGAACAAAAATTATTGTTGAAAATTTCTTTACATAATTACATTGAATTGAATTAATAAACTTTATCAGTTATCGTATTTAAATAATTCATAAAAAAAACCAATTGCTTCATAATGCATTCATATAATACCATCAGGAAATTCTTATAAACAAATTTTACGTCATAATAAATTATTTCGGGTTTGAGATCAAAAAAAAAACCCTGCAAATTTTTTTTACACGTGATAAATTGTTTACTAACATCTATATTGATAATAAAAAAATAGATGTACATCAATTGAAAGCATTACAAATCATATCCATTCCTAATGCAAAATAATTTCTTGAAATTTATAATGACTTGCTTTTTTCTTTGAGAATTATAATGACTTTCTCTTTTGGAAAATTGTAAATGCACCGAAAAAAGTCATGCATATTCTCTTTCAAATGTTAAAAAAAACAAATTATTCAGAACATGATATTATGCAATGTAAAGGTTCTTGTAACCCGGCTATATTTTTCTAGATCTAGACTAGATTAAATAAACATTATGAATAAAATTTGAAAACGCTGGGTGGGTAATCGCCTTCAGAATTCATATGAAAAAAACTTCGAATGGCGTTGTACGACGATAAGCTATTAGAACGTGAATAACTCTAACGCTAACGCTAATAAAAACAAATTGAAGATCTCAGTTTTACTAGATTTGTTTAGTATTTGTTGAAAATGAAATGATTTGATAATTCGTGTTACATACTTCTGTGTGGAACTGCATTAATCTCGATATGAAAAATGTATAACGATAATGAGATGTTAAACGAACCTATAAAATTCATTCTTACGCTTTGGGTTAATGCGCTAATGTATTATCAAGTCTAGGGCTAAAAATTTTCTTAATCGTTTAACCGTTTAATTTGGCTGGCATTAAAACAATTCCGGCCCACGACCAACATGATTCTGCCCGGAACTATGGAGCAGGTTCCCAATCCCGTTTTTTTAGTTATTATTTAAATCGTTGTATTCGTATCTAATCAATCACAGTGAATAAATATGTCAAATTAAACAGGCCACATATTAATGCTAGTGACATCATCCGTGATTATAAATAATTTGATCATCCAATGTCGATACGTATTGATATCGAGGTCGAAGCAACTAGGTGTACCTTCTTGCCATTTAATAATTTAAGCCCATATTTAGTAAATTCGACACATATATAACGTATAAGTTTTAAAATTTATCATAGTGTCGAATATAATTTTTAGATCAAGTTTAATGACAAAAAACCAACATTCAGCTCGAAAAATTTTTAAAAATGTGGATTAATTTTACATTAGTATTAGTTATATCGAAATTAGCGGTTTCATATATATAGCCAAATAACTTTTTTGCATTAATTCAGAGTGTAATAAATGATAAAAATAGAATATTTCCTCACCTTTCTTTTTTTTCTTTTTTTTTTTTTTAAAAGAAAAAATTAGTTAAAATTATCATGAATGAATAAACGATTTATATGCAAATAGAAGATTTGATCAACAAAATTCATTGCATATATGTCTGGATATATACCACAAAATATAATTTCAATCAGAAAAAAAAATATATCTACAGACAGATCTCACTCATGACAGATAAAGAGTGATCTTATATTCGTTTTGTGTAAAATATGTGCTAGCTAAAAAACCTAAATTATGATTTTTTTTAAATTGTTATTAAATGACTTGATAAATTGTCTGAAATAATGAGATAATTTCTTGTGCAAAAAGAAAGCTCTAAAGTCAAAAAAAAAAAAAGCTGATCTAAATATACATCAAAAAATTTGATTTTTAAAATATGGTTTACCAATCATTGAATCATTGTATCAAGTTTATACAGAGTAAAAATAAAAAATAAAAACCTATGTCCACGACGAATTCTCACTTTTCCTCTCATAAAAACCCGTTTTTTTATCCCATCCTCCTTTTTCCTTATGTTCGTCCCAAGTTATCAAATCATTTGATTCATCGTCAATCGTATTTTTATCCTTAACCAGTTCTTTTTGAACAAGGTCTTGGTACATCAAATCAACCATTTCCTGTTTATGTTCAATTTCTTTCATTCGTTGATCATGAAGAGCCGAGCTAATTTTTTTATGTCGTTGTTCAAGCTCTTTCAAAGTTTGTTCGTTAAGTTCGATCACTTTATCAGTGATTTGAATATATTCTTGAAGTTTTTCAGCATCTATTCGGTGACTCGATTCTAATTCTCGACAGTTAGTCAAAAGTGTATCGTAATCCTGGACTTTATAATATCAAATTAAAATTATTAATTAATGTTTTTTAAAAAAACAAAAGAAAATCCATATATATATATATATATATATATAGCTTTAGTAGATCGATTTTTTTTAGATGATTAATTTTTTTGCCGAAAAAAAAAACAAAAAAGTGCTAACCAAATGCCTCAATAAGCTCATTAGAGAGGACAACCGTTGGTACACCAGTTTTACGAGATCTCAAAATTCTATTATAAACGATATCTCTATAAGATTTTCCATCTTCACCAGAAGGTTGTTGTAATTTTAAATTTGAAATATTATCAGTCATTGATGAATTATCTTCGTATCGTGACGTATCCGGTGATTTATTATTGTGAAAATTTTTATTTTTTATAGTAGGACTATTAAAATTTGAATACATTTGTCTTGTTTTTCTACTTTAGTTAGACAAAGTTGTGGAAAACCTTTTTGTGTGGAAAAAAAAAAAAACGAAATAAGGCTTAGAAATTTAAGGATATTCTGCAATTTAGGATAAAGCATGAATTAAAACAAGTTTCGTAAATCACAAGGATTTTATCTTTGCTTGAGATCTGCAAGTTACATGAATATATAAAGATGGGTAAGTTCGAAAAATTTAACTTACGAGAAATTCAATGGGAAAATAGTGATCGATATATGTTTTGTGTAAATATAATAAAAATAAATAATCGGAAAAACATTCATATATACTTAACCAGATCTCATAAGTGACAAATTCAAAAATCAGTTTATTTTAAAGAAAAATATGTAATCTTGACATAATATATATAATTTTTGTTTTGTTTGAGTGATTTAAGAATTTTAAAAATTTTTATTGCCTTTATTAAAAAATTTACACGAAATTTATAATGAGCATATGTACATACGTATCTATGTATTCTTCTCTAACGAAATGCGTGTTATTTCGTAGTGATAGTGCTGTAGTGGTGTTTTACTATATTTAAAAAAAAAAAAGAATAAAAGAATTTTGAGTCTTATAAGATTCCCAGATTACGTTTTTTTAAAAAAAAAGAGTGTAGATCCTGCCTTTTATTTCTTTATTAGGATCATTTAATCGACACTCTTCCATAAAAGTATAATCTATCAAAGAAACTTCTAAATACGTATGTACATCATAAAACATTCTTGATAACTACCAGTATTAAAGCGGAGAAATTTTTAACGTTAAATATTGTTGTTTTTTGGGTATTATCTATTCTCCACGTGTAGTCGTGTAGCGGTAAATTATCTAAAAGACGAACTAGGGATGGATGTTTGTTATTCATTAACGTTAATCGGTTTTTATTATAATAATATGTAAACAGGTTAAGTCGATTAACATCTCTAAGACGAACCGAGTATTATTTTTAAACTGTTTTAAACAAGTTTAAGAAAAGAACAGCTGGTATTCCAGTATTCTCATGTTAGAAAATGTTATTTTATCGAACAATAAATAATATTTTTTTAAAATTTTTATAAACATTCAAATAAACATTCGAAATTTTGACATTTATATTTCATATCAAATATGAGAATACAGGTTATAGAATATATTGTAATAATGAACAAAATTTGTTTTTTTTTTTTTTTTTTTTTGTTGTAAAAAAAACCAAACCCAAATATGCAGTATTAAAAATGTCTAGCTCTATACTTTCACAAATGTCACCAAGTCCATCCATTAATCCAAATTAAATAAATAAATAAACAAAAGAAAAAAAAAAACTAATTAAATAAAATTAAAAAAAAAGCCAAAATACAAACTCTTCTTTTTTTTCCCATAATTCAATTAAAAATTAATACATGTTTCTTCATCACTAGAACTATTAATCTCTTCACTATCATATTCATCATCAATATCTACATACTCATCATTTAATACAAAGAAAGGTCTAGTTTTAGAAAGTTTTGTTTCCCGTCTCAACATAAAATCTTTCATTATCAACATTCGATCTTTTATAGTTTTCACATCTTTTTCACGTAACGTATATTCATTACTATCAATACTATTTCCTTTTATTATACTCCATGTCCTCTGCGTTTCCTCCACACCACCTTTGCTATTTCTTCGTTTAGATTTTGAATTTCTTCCAAATACCACATTATTTAAATATAAGTAAATCCTATTTAGAATTCCTGAATGCAAGAACCCATCACGTCCTTCATTCTTCCAAAGACCACGTTTCTGCAAAAATTCTTCCAGATCTAACCTTATCATTGGTTTATAACATAAACTAGTTCTATAAGTTGGTGAAAAATCTTGTGGATATTTTCTCAAATCTTCAATCTCTTGATGATTTTTCCTCCAAAGATCTTCCCAAAACAGGTACCACCATTGATGAACTCTTGATAGATTTATTATCCTCATTCTTTCATATAGATAAATAAGCGCTGGATATTCTGTTTCTGGAATAGCTCGAACTTTTTCATTTGTTTCGGTTGTCATCAATAATGCTGGTAATGATTCTAATGGTATTGAAGGATTATCATATATATTTATAAAGAATCCATATGATAATGTTTCCATCTTTTTCATCGCTTCATCTTTATAATAGTCCCTATATTGTTGCATTATCGCTTGAACTAGATCGAGTCCTTTAGACAGTGTTTCATAATTATCGGTGAATAATCGTTCAAGTTGAGATGTCATTTTGAAATCTGGTTCAATTTCGATAATGTTATGACCAACTGTTGTTTCATGACATGGTGTTTCTTCACTAAGTGATGAACTACCGGATCGTGATGAACCACTAGGCTTAATTTTGCCTGAATAAGTAATGGTAACCTCAAATCCAGAATTCATGTTTTGACCTCGCCATTTTGAACGCTGGTTACGTTGTATTTGGAGGATTCCACGATGATAATGAATTTCTGATCCCGAATTTCCAAATAATCCCTATTACAAACAAAGTAAATTAATAATAGTAATAATAATAATAATACATAATACATAATAATACTAGTGATAATAATCATAGTAATTAAATACCTTTTCTTGTATTTCAAATTCATTTTTATCTTTCTCACAACAAGGTCCAACAATAACCTTTCCTTCCAAAGATCTAATCATTTGTCTAACCAACCTTCTCCTTTGCACTTCTTTATTCTCATTCTGTTCTACATACCGTCGGATTTCCCATTCTTGTGTTAAAACAACTACACTATCATCATCATCATAACACATCACTAAACTAAACGGAAATGGTACTACATATGCTTTACCAAAATATGTTTTTACCTTACTGTTTAAAAATTCTGGTGCATAATACATATCAGGTCCAACAAAATTGTTTACTATCTTTATTCTCAATTTTTCCAAAGAGATAGGTAAAGGTGCCAAAGAGGTAGTATAATGTTTTAACCCTATATGTTTCATAATCTTTAGGTTCTCTACATGTCGTTCCGCAACACTTCCTGAAAAATTTAACAAGTATGGAGGTCGATGAGGTGATTGGGAATAAGCTATAACTTTTCCTGTTGGAATTTTAAGTTGATCTGAAGTCAAGATCAAACTGCTCCATGTTTCTTGCCATACTCGACGTTTAATATGTTTAGCAAAATCTAATCTTGGTGAATATATGTTAAGACTAAAATCTAATCGTTTTTTCGTATTTTTGATAAACCTTTTGTATCGATCTGTTTGTTTAAACAAATGCCACACTAATGTCAATCCAATTAATAAATTAATAATCACAAGTATTATAGAAACTATATAATATTGTCCAACTTGTAATATTACAAATATTCCCAAAATTGCTGTAATCACATAACTTGATCGAGACCAATATTCACTAGTATTCTGTGATGGTTGAAGGAATGGTTCACTTCTCCAATGTATGAATAAAAGTAAGAACATTAAAAAAATTTGTAATGTTTGACGAACTAATGAAACATTGTTTCGTGATGCAGAACGGAATAAACAATTATCTTTAGAGATTGTAGAAATTATCAAGATACTGAGAAATTTATTTGCCATTATAAATGTTTTATAGGATGACCATTTTTCATTATATCCTGTAATTAAATAATTATATACAATTAATTTTAAATATATTTTAAATACACGTATTAATATATTAAATATATTAAATATATTAAATATATTCAATTTTACTCACCATTATACAAGAAATTATAAGGACATGTGTCATTCTCCAACCTTTTTGAATATTCTTTAATTTCATCAGTAATCTTTTCTCCTGCCTCATTATATTTATCTATCCTAGGATAATTTTTATCCACTAATTTCTTCAAAGCGATAGGAAACCAAATTGTAAACACGCCTAAAGCTATTATGGCAACTACTATAATTGCCGGTGAAAAGTTCAAATCACCTTGTCTCATACTAGTCACATAACAAAAATCATAAGGATCTCGATAACCATCGGGACTAGTAAGAATTGGATTGTCTATGTTGTGTAAATATGGATCTGAAATTGGCCAGAATGTATCAGCCCATACTAAAGCATCTATCGAAAGTTTTGATAAAGGGAGATAGAGTGTTGTTAAGATAAATACTACGACCATATTGTGGCGACGTTTTGTTCGAGAACGTAAACTCCATGGTGATGATTCAAGTCCCTATAAATTGAATAAAATAAAATAAAAAATTCATATTAAGTATTATAATAAATAATGTAAAAAAAAATACGAATAAAATTAAAAATAATCTATCTATTATATTTTAACATATTATTGAATTAACATACTTCAACGTCAGCGTTGGGATCCAATTTTGTCATAATTCTGAACCAATATAAAGCTCCAAATACAATAACAAAAAATACAAATAAAAATGTCATTCCATTTCCAAATACATTAGCCAAATTTAAACTTAAAAAATTTGGTATAGTATTTAATAAGGTTTTCAACCAGCCTTCCGCTCCTACGTTTCCAAAAGTCAATGCAAGTGCCAAAAATTGTATAAAATCTCTCAATATTTCTAATTTTATCAAAGTATTTCCATATATCGCTGCTTCAGCAGTAAGAACACCATCAATAGCAGTAGAAATTAAATCATTTGGTGATTTTTCTTTATTAGTTATGTTAGATTTAAGATCATCTAAAGAAACATCATCTGGGATCTGATTCATCGGTGGGAACATAGAATCTGCATACTTTCCAAATTTACCTGTCGCCATAAATTTTTCATATTCTTCTTGAGTCATTATATCTTTTGGATTTGAAAATTCGGTTTTTGGCAAACTTTTTATGAATTCATCCAAATGTGGTAAATGTATCCATGGTGAACCAGATTTAAATAATTCATTTGATTCAGATTCATCAAATGGTTTAATACTAAACTTTGTTACTTTTAAAGGATCAGAATCTATATCTTGCATTATAGCTATACGAACATTTGTTGATTTATTTTTTTCATCTTTCATTATCGCATCAAATCGTGTAAAATCTGGTACCGTCATATTATTTTTTAAAAAAACTTCATTAAATTTTTGATGTCTTACACGTATAGTAAGATCAGGTAATGAATGATTAAGTTTTCCAAATTCTACGGCTGCCAAGTTATGTGGTACCATTAATGACATTTTACTTTTAGATAATGTGTATTCTGGTAAATTACGATCACCAAAATTCCTTTTAATAGATTTAAGAAAAGGATTTTTTTTAAGTGTACTAGCAGATGATAAAGTATTACGTTGTGGTCTAATGGTACTATAAGGAAATTTTAAAATTTGTATAGGTTTGCATTTTTGTCGTTTAGTACCAATTCTTGAACCATCTGATAATGGATAAGTTTGAAAATTTCCGGATTTTCGAAGTTTTATAGTCATTGCATGTGGTTGTTCATCTGTTAATTTTGATTTTTTTGATTTTGAAGGATAAAAATTTGGCATCGGTTTTCTAGATGAACGTGTTTGTTTCCTTTGAAATATTGGTGGATTATTATCTTCAGAATTTATATAATCATCACTTTGATCCATTTTATCACTTTCCATACGAGTTTCATGTACTTCATTTTTATAAGCGGAATCGTCTTGAGTTAATGGTAAAGATTTATGTTTATCAAGTTTTGATTCAATTTTAACTTTATGAATGTCTGAATGGTCATTGTTTGTCTTATCCATGAATGTACTATACTTTTTTCCTTTTCCTTTTTTCAATCCTGAAGCACCATAGTCAGAGTCATTTTTACTTAAATAATTATTAAATCGATCCAAATCTAACTTAAATTTATTAGGTGACTCTGGAGGAGAATCACTCCAAAAACCCCAACTATTTTTATCACCATCAGATAAAGAAGTATTTGTTGTAAAACTTGATAAGGAATATGTATTTGACATTGGATCAGGTAATTCACGTTTCAATGGTGCAGTTGATGAAAATTCTTTATGGGATGATGATTGTTGAACTTTTGGTAATGGTTCTAATAATCCAAGTTCAGGTAAATCAAATGTTATAGGTGATATTGGAGCAGCTTTTGGTAACAAATCATCATCTTTATCCGTAGAAGACAAATTTCTAAAAGTTTTTGAAGATGATACTGGATAATTTTTTTGAGTTGGTGTGATTTGTTGGTCATCATCATCAGTAGTTGATTTTACCACAGTTTTCCAAATTTCTACATTGATTTGGGACAATGGTTCAGGAGGAGATGACGCGTAGCTATTTAATGAAAAAGAAGTATCTCTATTCGAGCCCAACATTGGGGATGTTGGTTTGAATTCTGGTAGTAATTCAGATAAAGTACTTCTGGTCGAATATGCCGAAATTATTGATCGGGTTTCTGTAGTCGATGATTTTGGGACTGAATACAGCGAATCACTAATGGTGATTGAGTGAATCGGTGATGTTGGAGAGGCATTATCAGGTAAAGGACCCCACATTGGTGAAGTTTTCTTGATTTCTGGTAAATATCCTTGTCCTTTGGTTGTGATTGTTTCAATACTTTTAATCGAAATGGTTTCAGGGCTTTTAGATCTGGTCTGTGGTATTGGAGTTAAAACCCTTTGAACAGAATCACGACGCTGGGTACTATCCGACTTTAACGATCGATAAATCGATGATTCAAGTGAAAATGACAAATCAGAAACATCCTTTGATATTGGTTGTGATTGATAGATATGAGCAAATGAACTGGAAGATTGCGATGAAGTCTCAGAAAATCGGGTTAATTCTTTCTGATTCGTTTTTTTAACAGTTATTGATTCTCTTCCAGATGATATTATAGATTCTCGTCTCGATTGAGTTGAAGTGGAATATGTGGATTGCGAGATGGTAGAGGATGAGTAATTGTCATGTTTTGTAAATAATGGTTCAGGCATTGTTATGTGTAAGGGTGAAGTTGGTTGTATTTGTGGCAAACCATCAACAAAAAGTAATGACATTGGTGAAACGGCCTCCTTGTTTGACGCTGATTCACGAACGGATAACTTGAGTGATGATGCAGAAGATGAAATCTTTGATTCGTCATTGTAGGTTGTTATCTTGGTAGATCGGACAGGTGAAGACGGAGATGTAAACTTATTATCAGTTGACGTCACTGGCATTGTTTCGGGAATGGTTTGAGGGATTGACATTGGAGATACCGATCTAGGAGATACCGGGGTTGTGATCGATAGCGGTCGTGGAATAGGTTTACTTCTCCGCTTACCCAATTTTGTTGGTGATGTTGTCACTGGTGTAGACGCTGTTGGTGTTGTTGACCCTCCAGATGACACAGACTTCGTGTCGGAGGCAATATTCGAAGTTGATATTTTTAGCGGTTCTTGCTCATTTTGAGTTAAAGAACCTCGAGTTAACGGTGTATCATTTACGTTAGCATTAAGTCCTCTATTAGCATTAAATCCAGTATTAACACCAAATCCACTTTTATTACCAAATCCTCTATTAACACTAGATTCGTTATTGGTGCTAGATATATTATTAGCACTAGAACCATAATTAACACTGGAACTATTATTGGTACTGGATCCATTATTGGCATTGGATCCGCTGTTGGCGCTATTAACACTAGAATTATTATTAACACTAGAATTATTACTAACACTGGAATTATTATTAACATTAGAACTATTACTAACACTAGAACTATTATTAACGTTAACACTAGAACTATTATTAACGCTAGATCCGTTATTAGCATTAACACTAGATCCAGTATTGAAACTAGATCCGTTGTTAGAGTTATATCCATTATTACCACTAGATGACCCGTTATTACTACTTGTAACACTAACACTATTAGTGGATGTGGGTGCTATTTCGATAAAGACTTGTTTAACAGGTGGCAGAACGGGTTGAGTTATTGGTTTAGATGATGAATTAATTGGATCAGGAATAGTATTAAATCTTTTTACAGGTGACAAAGCGGTAGGTGAAGTTGGTGGCGTTACTGCCTTTTCAAATTTTGACACCAAATTTGATACTTTTTTTGCCTGTGGAATTGCTTCGCGTTGGGTTGGTGATTTAGCATCGCGCGTTTTAGTGAGAAATGAAATATCTTTTGGAGGAACTGTCCTAGTAGGTGATCCAAGTTCACCAAAACTTGAATTTTTTTGTGAAAAAGGTTTTTCGACGGGTGTGACTGTGTCTTTTCGTGATTGAGTCTGAGCAGGTGATGACGATGATGAGTCTTGAGATGTAGTACTCCAATCGCTCCTTCCTCGATCCTTTTGAGTTGTAACCGTTTTTAGATCAACGGTCGAACTATTATTGTCTTTCGTTGTGTCAATTGTTGACGCATCACTTTTGATATTCGCATTCTTTCCTTCATTACTGTCTAAACTACTTCCGAAAATATCATTTAATCGATCTGTTATTAATGATTTATTAACTAATGAACTTTTTTCAATTACAATGGGCATAGGTGGCGGCAATGGTTGAGTGGGAGATAATGGAGGTGGTGCATTTGGCACGTTCGAACCAAAAGGGCTGTTATTGATCCATGATCTTGGTGATAATGGTTCTGAGGTTTTTGGAGATGAAGGTGTGGATGTAGTTGCAGTTGGGGACAATGGTCGTCGAGGTGATCGTGAAACCGGCTCTGTTTTTGCTGCCTTTTCTTCTTGCTGTGCGGCCCAAAATCTTATTAAATCATTGACTGGTTTTGCTGTCGGAGGTTTCTTGGACATTTTTGAAAAATTTGCTTGTCAGTGACAATGTTAGACGTTAACGTTTACAATGATGTAACTTTCGATACGTAAATTTATTATTAATACACGATAGGAATAGAGTATTTTGAAAAAAGGCCAAGTGAAATATGATGCCTTTTTTTTTTTTTTTTAGTGACAGGATCTACTTCATGGTTAATTGAGTTTGAGGCCGATTGGATGATATTAGATACAGTAGCAATAAAAAGGTTAAGGCAATCGAATTATTATGGAATATTATAAATGAGATCAAGAGTTCGCCACTAATGGAAGTAACGATAATCAAAAATACACTTTGTTTCGACTTAAATAATATCTTTGGTCCAAAACAAATTATTTCATAAGGTTCGCGAATACTTTTTTAATTTACTGAAAAAAAAAATCTGACAAGGATTTTGACCTTTAACGTCGTGGACGATGTTGCAATATACTCAAAAGAAAGAGTAATCGCAAATAGAAAAAAAGGAGGGACTACTTTAGTAGATGAAGCAGGAAAAGAAAGGATGGTGTCGATGGATTCCCCTTGAACACAACAAATTGGGCAGTTATACAGTTAAACTGAGCATATATGGCGAGCATACATATATTAATATTGGCCAGTGTCACGGTCGTAAATTCCCCTTACCTTTTTGTTTGCTTTTGCTATATGTGATGATTTGATTGAGCGCATATTTGTTAATTTTTTAGTATTTATATTATTACACTAATACCCATACTTAATAAAGATTCCATATAAATGCGAACAAACATACCTTTTGAGTTACGTATGTACGTACATATTAATATAAGCGTTGCGGGTTTTCCCTGTGACATAATATGCTCTTTTAAGAACATATAAGAACGTATTTCGGATTAGTTCAATTCTAAGTATAAATATGCATATATATGTCAAAAGAAAATCCCTATTAAAGATATCATATCAGAGCAATTGCTTTATATTTTACAAAATTTGGCACATATTAAGGCAGTAGCAATAACAATAAGAACAAGTTACAGAAGTGTTATCTTCTCCTTACAGCCATTAGACCAAAGTGAGTAGGTGATCTTAAACGTTAACCTATATGTGAATTACTCTTAAAGTCTCGTGGCTGTTGAAGACCGGATGAGTTAGTTCCACTGCATTGTGGCTATCTTTTTTGCCCAACGGCATTACTTTTGATCACTCAAAACATAAAATTATTCTATTCATTCTTTTGGTCTTCTGCATGAACGAGATCTGAAAACTTTAACTTAAGTAGATCCGAATTTTATTGAACTTTATATAGTATTTATAGTAAACTTATATAGCATTTAATCGTAAAACCATTCAAAGAGAAAGAACCTTCAAAGCATCGTCTAAATCTTGCGAACATTTCGAGACAGCCTACGAATTTGCAAGCACGTGATTAGATTTGGAATGAATATTCATCGATAAGAATTTTTCAATCAACAATGTATGTACGTATGTACGAGTATGATTAGTATAAATTAATAAATTACCTTCAAAACATTTATGTAATAAACTGCACCAATAAGCGCTTTTAACGCATATATTTAGTCAGATCCCATAGTCATACAGAACACCACTCAAATTTCATGTCATACATTATACATTATATGAGATTTATGCATTTTTGTGTTCTTTTTAATTAAGGTATTCTAAAATCATCAATTAATCACAAATTAATTTTTTTAATTGAAAGAATAATCTTGGTATTTTGACATAATTCAACAATGAAACGATAAAGGGGCAACCCAGAATCTTAATTTTGTATTTTCCCTATCGATACTGTTTTCGCAGCATAATATAGGGTCTTAACTGGGAGTGCTATTTAGTCTGGCCTTAGACTGTACGATTACAGTTGATGATAGGGCAGTTTGGAACCGAAAAAGACCGGGTTAGCCTCAGCAGTAAGAATTCTTAAAAACTAGACCATTAAGTTCTTAAGACTATAGAAGACCAGACAAATATACCGACCAGACCGTTAACATCCCTAGTCTTAACTGTAGCATAATATTACATTGTAAATTTTGATTGATTAAAACAGAAAAAAGAAAACTAGACAATTTCTTTTTTCTCTTTTTTTTTAATTACAATAACTTCAAATGTTTAAATGGAAAAGTCAACAAGATCAATCTTCGAAGTGAAAAAAAAATTACAAATTGACCGTTTAATCTTGTAGACTGTTTTAAATAAAAAATATATAACATTCAAAATAAATAATTTACTAAATATGTATTAAATTCGGCTGTACAAGAAGTAAAATATGTAAGTAATTATATTTTGATATACTTATATGACTTCTAAATTGGTGCTGTTCGAGTCCTCAATCCCCATATTTGGTGTGTTTGTTATTAATCCCCTAAGGTTTTCTGATATTTGTCTAGGACCTATGTCTATATGTCAAGTATATTATACATATATTATACTACCGCCCCATAGATGCCCCAGGTCTTAGCGTCAAAATAATCTGCAATTACTAAGTAAATATAATGCAATTTATTTAATAAAATATTTAAATTGAAATATACAAACTTTTATATTGATATATGTTTTTGAAAATAACCCTTCTTTATAGCAATCTATAGTCTATTCTTGTTATAATAAACTCTATTATAGTAGATATCTTATTATAATAGAAAAATTCTCTAAACCAAAATTTTTATTATTATATTATATAATTTTATAATAAGTAATTTTAATTATTAGCTAAGATAATTTTATTAAAAATTATTTTAATTATACAATCTAAAATTAACTAATAGAATTATAAACTTAATTTTTATACTAAAATTTATTATGCAGTATATTTTTTCAAAACTAATTCTAATAATTTGTTATAATTTTATTTTATTTTATTTTATTTTTTTTGTTAAGATGACCTCTTTAGTTTTTTAACTTTTATTAATGTTTTTTGATAATGTGTTCTATAAGAAATTACTATATAAAAAAGTGTACAATTGGTTACACATATAACTTTTTTATATTACCTATTTAAGGAGTCTACTTAGAGGTTTTTTATCAATTGGCATTCTTGTTTGAATGTTTTATTTTAAACCTTCTAAACTTGCAATTTTTGTTAATATTACTAAATTATGTTCAAAGTATTATTTTAATTTTAGGATTATTTTATTCTTAAGATAAACCTTCTAAATTCTTTTGTATTTATTTTTATAGCTAACCTAATATTACTATAGCAGAATTAATACTCATAATTAGAATTAGTTATTAAACTACTATATTTTTATGAAGTTTACTCAAATCTCAATATTATTTCACAACATATCTGATATACCTTTGCATTGTTTTTAGATTTATAATTTAAATAATTTGATAGAACTATAATCAGTTTATTAATATATCAAGTTGGCTTAATATTCTTTTTTTTTAGTCTAATTTTTAGAATTTAATTAATGAACTTCTTATCTAGAGATTTTTATTTGTCTGGTTCTTTTATATTAATATCTGTTTTATAAGACTAGCCTTTATAGTGATATTATTAAAGATTTATATTACTTTTTTGCTTAAATTTTTTCAAATAGACTTATTGTTTTCCAATTTTTATAAATTTATACAGTTACAAAAATTTATTTAAAGTTTATATTACCTAATACTAGTTTGTATTTTTTTATATAACCAGTTACATAAATGTTTTATAACCTGTTAGTTATATTAATATAATTGTTAATTATTAAAAATAATTATTATAATATAAATATTACATAAGTAATTATCAAAATTTTTATTATTAATAAGTTTTAAATATATAATCTCTTATTTAAAGAGTTAATAACTTATTTATTTTACTAAGTTATTATATCTCTTAAATTTGCTTTATTAATTTTATGCTATTATTAGAATTTTTATATTTTATTTGTACTATTATATTATTATTATTTTATTATTATTTTTTTTTTTTTAACTTTAAGCAGATATGTTAGTACTTTATTAAGATTCTTGAAACTATATATATTTATAATTATATAGAATTTCTTAATACTCAAGTTTAGCATCACTTGGCCATCCTATTGGTGCTTAAGTGCAATCTGTCACATTATCTTAGTTAAAGATAGACTGCTTATCTAATTACTTAAAGCTATATCAGAAAGATCTTCTCCTTTCTGTAACAAGCATATTAATTAACTTCTAAACTTTCTTTTTTATTTATTTTGTTTTTTCTGCCTTCTTTTCCTTTTCTTCTTCTCTTGTTATCTTATTCTTCTTTATTTTTTTTTCTAATCTTCTTTTACATCAAACATCTTTTTTTATTTTGCTTGTTATATTAACTTTCTTTTTTCATTCTTGTACTTTTCTATATCAAACTCTTCATACTTGGTTATAAAATATTTTTTATGCTGTTCTTGTCACTATATCTATGCATTTCTGTATTGCCTGCCTATCTAAAATCTGCCTGATCTTTTTTTTAACTTTATTTGTTGTTAGCCCTTTTATCAGAGCTGTTCTGTTAGTAATTTCTTCTTCTTTTATCTTCTCAAAAAGTGCCTTATATAGCACTAGAGGTAGGATTCTAACTTTTTCATTTTTTTTTAGACTATTCCATGCTGCTGTCATTGCTACTTTTTGGATCCTCTTTCACAAACTCTTTTGTTCAGTGCAGCTTACTAAGTATACTTAAGTTTCCTTTTCACCTTTTTGATATACTTGGCAATCAGTCATTGTATATATTTTTGGTCTTCTTCTATTCAGTTCTTTTAGTATTGGTAGGCTATCTATTATATATTTGATTGCTATTACTCTTCTTGTACTAAGTTTTCTTGTTGTGCAATGTACACCTTTTGTTCTATTTATTTCTTTTCAAAAGCTTGACCAATTATATCGAGTGTTTTCAGTTTCTGGCTCTAGTGCTCAAATTGGATTTGTTTCTTTTTAACTAGCTCCAATTCTGGCATTCATAACTATTTTACAAAGAAGTCTTGCTGGTATATCAATTTTTCTATTTTTCTATTCTAAGTGGTACTCTATTGTGTCACACTTGATCTTC